GGCGATGTGCGCCACCCGCTCCTCCCTTCCTCTCCCTCCCCCTCTCCTTCCCTCTTTTGTTTTCCTTTTATTTAACCTTTATTTCGATGGCCCAGTGTGCGTTAAGGTTCCAGCAGCATTTGAGAGCATCTTTCTGGCTGCGAGACAAAAGTTATCTTCCGGGTTTTCCCTGCAATGTGGATAACGGGATTTACCCTTGTCGCATCTGAGTAAGGTTCAAAGAACTCTTATACAAGATTAGAAGTTGAGGTATCCCTTCCAGGTTTTTGTCACCCACTGGAAAACAAATTTAATGAGCAGCTTTCTGCAAGATCCATAAATGCGACACATTCAGCTGCACAGTCCGTGGGAAATGTCTTTTTAGTATAGTCAGTGCTTCTAAGCATTTATCTATGTTGAGAAGTTATGGCCTGGCAAATCACTTGTCTCTCTTCAAATCACTATTTAGCCTTTGTGAATGTGGACATCTAGTCTTTGAAACTTGCTATTTATGGCATTTATCCAAGTTCCTAACATCATTGTTGTGAGTGTCCCAGACAAGTGACAAGATTTCTAAGATGCATTTAACTACCTTTATGTTCTAAAGCAAAGAAGTGTTTGGGCTGCTTTAAACAAATAATCGATTTCCACCCCCCACTAAAACCAATGTAAAAGCTGTGCCAAGACTCATGTACAGCATTTCCTTCAGTCAGACACACTGGCTGTGTTTGAAATGGAATTATGGATGTAGGTTTTCTGACTGCAGAGGAGTGTTATTGTGCATTCATCTTTAGTCTTGATAAATGTCTCCAGGAAGATATATATTGTTTATCATGAATGTTTGAATTTATGCTCAAACCATTTCTGTGGTTTAACCTTTAATTTTTTGAAAGACTACTCATTGCAGAAGATAATTATTTGACATTCAAGCTCATAGTTACTTAATTTTTTCTCCTGCATCAAATAATTATTTTCTTTTCTTTTTTTTTTCAGCAATTGGAAGACTCTGTGAAAAATGTAAGTATAGCATCCACATTTAGTTGCTTGAGAACATAGTGTTGTGGTTAGAGCATGCAGTTTGAATTCAAAGGTTGAAATCTATTTTTGCTTTTACCACAAACTTGATGTCACTCTTTGAGAAGGGAACAATTACCTTAACATTGCAAGTGTAGCTCAAAGAGTACTTAAAAAGTTGCAAGCTCAAACAGACTCTTGCACAAGCGCAGTTCTAGAGTACCTGTTCCCAGCATTTCCACTGGCTGAGGTACAGTGACTGCTTCACTGGATCCTTATAATCTGTAATACCAAAATATCATACTGATCATTTCAAAACGGGGAAAATGCATTTTTGGATTCTGGCTTCATCCTACTGTGAGAAAGGTTCCCATTAGCATCTGGGAGAAGAAGAAATGGAGGGCAAGCATCTAAAGTTAGAGCAGGAAAAAACAGATTCCCATTGGTAGTAGCTGAGATCTGTCACGCCAGAGATTTAAGAGCAGGTTAGACAAGCTGTTTGTGGGAGTCTGGATTAGATACCTTGGGAACTGGTAATAGGATATGAAGCCTTTCATCCGTAGGTCAGTGTTTTGGTTAAGATCCAGCTCAGCAGAAATTGTCACTGGCATCTGATGGCTCCTCGCCTGTATGATATGAGTACTTGAATTTCACTCAGTTCCTTGTGAGAGCGCAAGGGCAACTCTTGTGAAATGGCTGCTTATGCCAGTTTGCTCTTTCTTTGGCTTTCTCGCAGATGAAGGATTAAAGGGACCATGAGTATAATCTCTTTTCTCTTTGAGGATAGTAACTGCAGACTTTTGTTGATGTGGCACTGTGGGAGAAGCACACACTGCTGCTTCTCTGTAGGTAAGGACTCTAGTCCTGTCAGTCTGGCTTTTTTTTTGTTTTGCAAGTGAATAAGTCAGGAAAAGTTGTAGTATAAAAGTAGTGGTACAATCAAAGCAAATCTTGACTAATCACAAAGAAGTAATTTTGGGTTTTTTCTCTGACTGTAAATGTATGACTAAATGTAAACCAACCCTCAAATATTGCAGGCCACGGCCCTTGTTCCTCTCAAGTCTGTGTGCAGTACAAAGTTGTGCCCTGTGCCTGCAAGGCACATTTCTGCAGTTCAGCTGTGATGTCTACGAGTGTACAGGAAAGTTACTTGACCAGGAAGCTTTTCCTCTGACCTGGGGGTGGCAAAAAGGACATTCTATAACCAAAGGCTGTGCTGTGCTCACAGGTGATGGCAAGTGTGTGATCTGTGACTCCTACGTGCGGCCCTGCACCCTGGTGCGCATCTGTGACGAGTGTAACTACGGCTCCTACCAGGGCCGATGCGTCATCTGCGGAGGGCCCGGCGTGTCTGATGCCTACTACTGCAAGGAGTGCACCATCCAGGAAAAAGATGTGAGTTGCCATCCCAGCTACGCAGTAGCCATGCTTACCTTTAAGGGGCTTGGAACTGCCAAAATTGGTGCTGGACAATTGGCACTCATTTGTGATAACTCAAACCTTTCTTTCCCTGTTGATCGGTCCCCGTGTTTGCAAAGCATTTTGAGTTATTGTAACTCTCTTCATTCTAAGGATCTTTGTCTGTTTTGCACATTCACAGTTCATTTCCTCCACAGACTGCTTGTTGCCACTTCAGGTTGTTATCCTACTATAGCTCCAGCCTAGGTTTCACCAGGGTCAGAAATATTGCAGACACTGCAAGGCAGTGGTAGGAGCAGCTCCTCACTAGAAGTCCATTATAAGCCACTGATTAAGAGCACATATGGTACTGTAAGGCATGTGGAATCAAAACCTTTGTTTTTCTTTGAATAATGAGGTAAAGTTGGTCCTTAGTGTCCAATGGCTCCATTGCTAATTGTGTTTCACAATTTTGATGCTTCTTGTATTATTTCAGTGGAGTACAATTTATATTTTCTTATTCTTTTCTGGAATGGTTTGTATTGTAGATACTTCTCCTTCTGCTAATGCTTTTTGATGTAATGGTCCCTTTTGTCTATATCCAGAGCTATCATCTTTTTATAATATTTTGCTGAAAGACACTGCACATGTGAAGTGAAGCAGCTATTCACCCCTTGTAAGGCTTTTGTTAATAATCCAACACAATGAGTGCAGGACATGAACTGCAACAAAGCAGTTCATGTTAGTAAGACCTTACAGAAAAACAAGAACATGATGCTTACAGTTCTGCTATCCCAGAATATAGGCCTGGTAGCTGTGAGAGTTTGTTAAAAGTTGTTTGGTGCTTTGCAAATGTAATTTCCTACACACCCTAATGACTGTGAAGAATGTGCTGAGAGAGTGGTTTACAGGAGTGTCCTCAGCTGTGCAAGTTGCTGCTTTAATTCTCTCCATTGCCTGTTTTCTCTAGAGGCCTGCAGCCAAATCCAGAACAGGGGCAGGTCCCCATTTGAATTTAGTCATTAGATCTAATAGGACCATAGTCTTTCTCTGTATCTAAATATGGATATAAGTGCTGTGATGGTGGTGCTGCCTCCTTCTTTATAAATGTTGTGAAAAAACAGTAGTTTTGTTCACTTGCCTTTGGAATGAAGATTCCTGGCTTTATAAATCATGAATAAAATAGGCTTGTTTTTGTTTTTATCAATTCATAGGGGTTCCCAACAAATGTTTCTCATAACCTAAATCTCAGGTGTGAAATAACTGGCTACTCTGTCAGGGAGGACTGTAGAAAACAGAGCTAGAGGAGAATAACAGGTCTGGGGTATTTTGACACCCGGTAAATGCTACTGTGAGTGAAGAAAGTTGCTCTGTGGCAGAAAACTCAGATACTACAGATCTCATTACAACTGCAGATGTGAAGTTGCAGATCTGAAACAGCAGATTTGACATGATTTGTTGCAGGATTGAAAAGTGCTAGCACAAGCATAGGGAGCCCAGAATGAGAAAAATTAGGTGTGCTACTGCCTGTCACAATTATGGTATCTGGTGCTGATGTGAATAAGAAAAACAGCTGGGCAGAGCTCTGTACCTGAAGCTTTAACAGTCCAAGGTTTCAGCCACAGCACTTTCATCATCCTGAGAGAAAGACTGGAAAAGATACTGAAGCAAGAAAGCAAATAAAATGGAGGGCAAAGGTGGAATGCTATGTGGCACAAAGCAAAGGACCTGGTTACTCTTGGTTCATTTATTCTAGTGGAGGGAGAAATGAAGTACTGTGTCAGCCCATTTCGATCTGTGGGTAAAGGCCAGAATCTCACCTTGTCACCCTGGACATCTGTGAGTTGCAAATAGTAATCTTTTCTTGGGGAAAGGAGGGTGCTCATGAGCTGTGTCCTTAGGAGGAGGTGGAAGAATGAACAGAGCCCTGCAATAAGGTTGTCAAGATTTGAACAGACTCCATGGATCGTGGGAGGCAAGGCTTGAAAGAGTCCTACTACTGAGGTTCAAAATGAAATAAGGAGACAGTAGCTAGAAATGGGTTGTGGCAGGTGTATGGGGGAGGGATGATTTCTGTTCCCTACCTCTCCTGTTATTCCTATCATGCAGATCCTCCCCACCAGATTTTATCTCTGGCATGGGAGCCAGGAAGCTTGGGTGCAGATTCTACAGCATCTGACATCTGCCCAGGGGCTTTCTAAATCTAATGCACTCAGGATCGTACTTCAGCCAAGGACACGTGTTCCTCTGCCTGCTGGGCCCCTCACAGCTGCTGTGGCCAACCGTAATGTTTTGCCCTTAAGAATTATGCAGATGCTGGGCCCAGGTGGCCCACGGCAAAATGTTCCCAGGTATACCAAGAGGTGCATTTCTGATTTGATTTTGCAACCACACTTCTCAGGAGGGTTCCCCCTACTCCCCTTGCTTTTCTTGTGACTTTTTTCTCACCATCTACTGGAACTGAGGTACAAGAACCTATCTGTGTAGCTGCTGTGAGTAGCTGACCCTACAGCCTCTGCAGTAATCGATCCAGGATGCAAGAAATCTGCGGTTCAGTTCTGCTGTCACAGCTGAGGGGTTCCTAAACACAAGAATGGTTTGGTGACATCTAGAGCAGCAAGATTCTCTTTGTCTAAGGAGGGGAAAGGTCATTCCTCTGGGCCCTAGAAGTCCTGCATATCCTGATTTAGAAATAATTCAGTCTTTTCATTAATGGCTGAAGTTATATGAGCTGTTTTCCATTTCAGCCCTGAGGGAGAGCATGTCCTACAGTAATGTTGAAAAGATAGCCATCCTCTTCTCTGTTTCTTACTGGTAACCAGCACTGGAGAGCAATTTGTCTGTACAGATGTTTGAAATGTGTTGAGGACAGGGCGAGGAGTGTGGGAACTGAGAACCTGCTACAACTATGATGTTATTCTGTGTTTGCTCCTTTCCTAACTTGCAGTTTATTTTCTTACAGAGAGATGGTTGCCCTAAGATCGTCAACCTGGGCAGTTCCAAGACAGATCTTTTCTATGAAAGGAAAAAGTATGGCTTCAAGAAGAGGTGATCCTCTTCATACGTGGCTACCTCCTTGGATTGGCAAGAGGGTCTTGGAACATCTCTGGACTTTACTCTTATTGAAAACTGGTTGATTTTTTTTTTTTCTAAAACAGTACAAATTCAGTAATATACTTGGGGTTGGAGAAATAACAGACTGAGTGAGGACTGAAACCTGATCAGAACCAATGATGAGAGAGGGCAAATGAAGATTACTGTCTTCTGCCTTTGCAGAAGCTCTGCTAGTAGTTGCCCCAGCTCTCTATACAAAGCAGAATTAGCAAGCACTTACACATAGAGGAGCTATGTAAAAATGGGAAGTGCTATTTTTAGAGTGGAGAAACACCTTGAGGTTGTTCTTACTGGGCCTCCTCTCAATTATTTGAAATTGCCCCATCCATCAGTGTTGAAGAACGAAGCATCAATCTGCTCCCCTCCTCTCTTCCTCCAGTATATTTCCATGCTGCCCTGTTTTGTAAGGAATCTGCTCATGGCTGGTACCTTCCTAGGGAGAGCACAGCTGTTCCTTGTTTTCTTTGACAGATAAATCCAAGGCCATTTCTTGTAGCCATTTCTGTAGGATGCATACCAATAAAGCTTTTTCTTTTGGGTTTTTATTTTTTGTACAACAAGGATTTCTCTTTGGTTTATTTTGTGCCTAGCCTCTCTGGAGCTTTCTGGGGACACGGAGGATTAGCCCAGCAAGCACTTCACAATGGGTTATCTGGTTTCTGACAGCGTCTGCTTATGGCCACGTGACCTTGCCACAAGGAGCTTCAGGGAACGGCTGTTGCTTTTGTCTGCCTGTGATCCCAGCCACTGATCATTTTGTCCCGTAGCATGAGGATCGCTGAGCTTGTAACCCTTATCCCAGCTAATACGGCTGTGGATGTTGTTTCACCATGCAAACATCCAATCCCTTTCTAAAACCTACTAAGCTATTTGACTCGCTATCCTGTTCTTGTGAATAAGTTAAAGCCTTCCCTGCTGTAATGGGAAACCAACTATTGTGTTCTGGGCTATTGGCCGTGTGCGTGCTGGAAACCAGAGGCTGCTTGTTTGTCAAATACCAGTACAGGCTAAAAGCAGTCTGTTGGCTCAGCAAAGATCTGGGAACAGGCGCCTTTGTGCAGAGGCGGAACTGAGTTCCCCACGGGTGTGTATACTCCTCAGATGGTTAAATCTGGGTCCTGGCTCAGTGTGCTCTGTAGTCCTTCAAGTACTTTAGTCTGAGCAGAGTATGTGCTACACTAACACTTGTCTTTGTGCAGTCTTGGGGTGCAGAGCCCCAAGACCATTTTTTGTTTTGTGCCCCTTCCAGGATTTCAGCTATTCCCTTGGGGCTAGCACCAATTCCTCTAACTACTCTTTGGCTTAAATACCTCTTCTACCTGCTCCAGCTATTTGGATGAAAGTGAAAAGCACACAAGTTGTGATTATCCTCCCCTCAAAAGTAATTTTTTCCTGCTCCAGCTGGCTGTAGCTGTCACCGGCCCTAGAGCTATCTCAGCTGCTCCTCCCTCTCCTGCCCCCAGCTATTAATTCTGTCAGGTTTCTCTTCCAAGATTTTTGCAGTTCTAAGATTATAAGCAGGTCTTCTTCCCTGCACGATGGTTCCCTTACACAGCTTCTGATGGATGCCAATTGCCAAGGTGTTCAGAGCAATCTAGCTCATTGGTAACAGCAAACCTATTCTCCCAAAGCAGTTCTTTGGGAATAAGCAACTGCCTCTGCAGACCAGGAAGCCCATGTCAGACCTGTTATCGGCCATTTTAAATTCTGTGTTTCTTTAGAAGCAGGCCATGACATGCAGATTTGTTGTACCTGGAACTTTATCACTTCAACCAGAACTTATCACTTACCCTCAGTCAGGCTGCCCAAATTATCTCACTAGGAATGCAGAAGGTTTGTACACATTTTTTTTCTTTCCCAGAAACATGGAAGATGACGAAGTTTTTCAGTAAAGGTAGAGGGAAATGAAGTAAGGAATTAATTTTTGTCTCAGAACAAATACACCCTGGTGAGCTAATTTTAGAGCACCCCTTGTTCCTAATCATTTAGCAGGATCAGCCAGGCAGGGCTTGCTGTAGAGGTACCAGTGTCCCCATCCCTTCCCCCATCCCCAACAACAGCTGGGCATACTCACTTTCTTGGCACTCCCGATGCCCTCACACTGACTGCTGGATATATCAGTCTGTATTCTGAGAGTTAAGCTGCCATTTCTAGTTGTTCTGAGTCACTGGGCAGGTGGAGAGAGGGAGGGACAGGCTTTTCCCCTTTGCCTTGTTTGCTCAGACAGCTCTGGGGAGCATGCCAAATGCTGCTGGTGCTCAGATCAGTTCAGTGCCACTGCCTTTCTGGTACTTTCAGAGCATGGATGGGACATTGCCCTGAAGCTGCTAATTCAGACAAGGGTAATGGATGCATTTGTGTAGCCCAGAAAAACACGACCTTGCTTGCTTGGTAATGATTTCTGTGCACCAGTAGATGATACCTAGGCAGGCCCTCTAGAAAAGTGCATTATTTTTCACCTAAATAGATTTTGAAGTACTTGTCCAGGAGGAGATTGCCTTGCAGTACTGCAGACCTGAGCACATGCTAAAAGGGCGAGCTTCCCCAGAGGGGGAAAATGAGACAAGACATGTCCTGCTGCTGTGTGCACGCCAAGCTTTGGAAGGGCTTCATCAGTCCATGGAGTTTTATGCAGCCAGATTCAGGGGCTCTCTGGCTGCCAGCTGTGAAATACTTGCGTGGCAGCAGCAGGGAAGGGTGGGAGAGACAGGGACAGCTTTGTCAACGTGGCAGCTGAACCCCCATGGTGCTGTCTTCAAAGCCTAATGCATGGAGCTAACTGTCTCTTCCTGCTGTTACTTTTCTAGATGGTGTTATTTTTTCCTTTTTTATTAAAATGTTGCATAACAAGTAGAAAAAAAAAATCCTTTAATTTCAAATATTTACATTGAAGGAGAGAACATGGGACCTCCTGGCCTATTAAGAAATTTGCTTCTGTTGCCAGTACTAACAAGGCATTGCTGTGTTCTGAAATGTAGGTGTTCCCTGTTACACACCCCTTCAGCTCAGCTGCCAGCCACAACTACAGCTGAGCTCAGCAAATAGCTCTGTAACATACATCTAGTCCCTTGAATCATCTAGACCTTATCTTGACAAAGCCCTTGAGCCCCAAGCACTACTTTTCTTTAAAAAGAGACACAACGGAAAGAAAAGGTAGGTAGATGTCTGGAATCTGCCTGTGAGCTTTTCCTGTGGGAGCTGCATGGACAAAATCTCGCTTCTGAAATCTTATCTGCACAGGAGCTGTTATTTTCTCATTACAGACATCAGCTGGAGATGTTTGCCTCTTTCAATAGCAGGAAAGAATTTTTCATTTCCTTGGGGTTGTCATGTGAATTGAATGTAGAGAGGATTCAGGATACGGCAATATTAATTATGCCCAATTATAACCTGACTCCCCTTCCTTGGCATTAAATAACCCAACCAAACGAGCTCTGTCCCAGTGGCTTGGCAATTGCTCCCCTCCCCATACACACGTGACACGGGAGATTTGCTTTGACGTAAAAGCCAAATGGCTGAGAATGCAGGAGCAGATACTGTGACAAAATTCCTCTGCCTGCATGTGTACAAGGGCAATGCCATAATTAAAGGAGCACGGTCAAGGCACAGGTATTTTAAAGACCCCTAATACGTGACACCCTCTTAGTAACACCTTATTAAAACAATAATAGAATTTTAGAAATGTAATTGCCTTTTTTTACTTAATGATGCTAAAAATAGTTCAGTCCTTTTAATTTCCTGATCTTTGGCTGGCACTATGATTTTGTTTCCACCAAAGCAAGGGAATAATTGAGGAAAAAAAAAAAAAAAAGGGTGTTCTTTTGTAACTAAATTTCTTTTAAGATAGGAGTGACGAAAATAAGGCTGCTCATAATAGCTCTCATAAATCTTCCACTTCTCTTTGCCCTTCCCCTGTAGGAAAAAAAAAACTTCAAAAGTTATTGTTTCTTTCTGTAATCAGTGGGAAAATGAGAAAGGCTGGCTGCTGTGGCTGGGAAGGAACATTAATAGGTTTCTTAACACATGGTGTTGGCTGGCCTCAAAAGAAAAGCTCTTCCGTGGCAAAGGCAGTACCTGAGGTAAAGTATTCCTGAATGAGGGAGGACAAACCAAACCCAGAAGGAGGCCTGTTGTGGAAATAGGGCAAGAGATGAACTTTGTTTTTTTGCACTTGGGATATGGTTGCCATGCCAGCTAACCTTGCTGCAACAGGGACTGTGGTAATGCCTGTGTCACCCTCTGCTTGTGTCAGCACCAAGGAAAATGTAGGACACATGGCTGGGAGAGCCTGGAAACACCGTTCTTGGTGTCCTTTCTACTAGTTTGGAGTATTACTTGGGTCAAAAGCTGCTTTATGTGCGGACAGCAAGCAGCCTTAGCAAATGGTTTGTGAGGAAGGTGGTGTGACCTTGGACTGCAACATACACGGCCTGGGGATGCCTCTAGACATTTTCTTAATTTTCCTGGAACTAGCAATGGTTCTGCTTTGAAATAAAGTGTGAGGATATGTTTGTCTGCTGGCTCAGAGTGCCTTCGGCCTGCTAGTGGGCAGTGCATCTCAGCCTTTGGCGGTGGAGGTGCCGCCATCGGCCCGTAGCCCCAGGGATGGCCGTGGCTGTCCTTCCCCAGGACAGCCTGTGACCCCGAGCCCTGCCCGAACCCGCGAACGCCCCGCCGTGCGCGGCAGGCCGTGGCCGCCCCGGTGACTACAT